CCCCCCCCATCCCATCTCCAGATTTGTTAAAAAGCAGGAGCATTTCATTTCAAATATAAAGTGGGAGTTTGATTTTCCCCCTGTATTAAGAGAAGTGTCTTATTAACCTTTTATATAGATCACAGAAGCTTTTAGTTCTGATTGTGGTGTTACTAATTTTTTGTGTGTGTGGACTTAAAACTCTAGATTTTGGGGGCCAAACCTGATTAGCTATAGTGAGGTAGTATGTAAGACTGATGGCTTTTTTTCTCTCTTTATTACTAGAAACTGGTTGCTCAAATGAAGCAGGATCCACAGGTAAAATACTACTTTTATTCACTTAATTTTTAAATTAAAATAATTTAAAACAAAGTGACCATAAAATATAGACCAATATTTAAGTTTTAAAAACTTTCTCATCTCTCACAGCAATTCTGTTAGCATAATGTTCTTCATGTTTTAAGGGTTTAGAAAAATCCAGTCATTCTCTTATAATATAGCTATCGTTTCATATTTGTTACTGTTTGCTTTTGTGTTAATTGCTTTGAGTACTTTAGGGGGGAAATTGAAAGTTAATACTTTCAATAGAGCTTAAATTTCATTTCCATAAGCCCACTTATTCAGAATCAGTTTGTGAGGCTTTCTGTCGTCTCAAAATTATTGACTATAGCCCAGAACTATTCTTATTTTCTCTTAGTTTATAGTAGAGATATAGTATGGAACATTTAAATACTTAATCGCACTATGTTCAAGGTAAGAATTTTAGAATAAGTTTTAAAAAGCATTTAAAATTTTTTTAGTTTTGAAAGAGCCCTTAACCCAGCAAATATTACATTTTCTCATAGGAGTTTTTTGACTTAGACATTTTATTCTCTATCCCTGCAGAGATCTCCCTAAGAAGTTCTCTCCCATGATTGTATTTATTGTTCAGGCAGTGTCTCTTTTGCGGCCATCAGACAGTGGGTCATAAATGTGGAGAGTACTTATCAGACCCTCTTAGGATTTCTCCCTTGCATTTGTTGACTCATAATCTGGTCACAAAGCAACTAGACCCATTGATGAGCACTCAGATATATGTGTATATATCTTTAGCTTGTTAAACACACCATACATGCCTCATTGTAAATTTAAGTAAAATAAATTTCTTGGATTGTGGAATAGTTCTGAGGTGGATTGATTTTTGAAAGTGGAATAATAGTTATTTCAAAAAATTTAACACCCATTGGCCTAAGTATTGTGCTTTAACACAGTCCATTGATAGCCCACACTTAATTTTTGTTTGACACTTGAACTTCTTTGAGAATCTTTTCCATTTTTATTTATTTTAAAAATACCTTATTTAAATTGGATTTAGATTAATAGATTCTTTTATATTTAACATGATAACCTATATTATCAGGAACTGAAATATTATTAGAAAACTTTAGCATTTCCCATATAGCTGGTCATGTAACGGCAGTCTTAATGTGAAAATTCTGAGGGGGCAGGAAATTGATGGACAGTCTTGTGAGTGTTTCATTAGAGAGAGATATATATACTTCTAAATAAAGACCACGTGGAGTAAACATGAGAGGGAGGATATGCCCCAACCTGGTAGGAGACCAGCAGGGCTAAGTGAAAGAATTGCAAGTGAGATGAAGAATAAGTGGTCTCTCGTTGGGGGGTGGTCAGTCTGCTAGTAGGCTATCCTATATTAAGCATTAATCTTGCTTTTTAAATCTTGGATTTTAACCCCCCCTGAGTAAAAGGCAAGCATATTCAGTGTATCTCATCTAAAATAGTCTTTTTTGAATCCTAGAATTTGAAAACTGAGAAAATGCCCCGGTAGTCACTGTGTTAATTTGAATGCTGTAGTGTTAAGGCAGTTGCAGCACTGACAGCTTTTCAAATGTAGGCTAAAATAACAAATGCACTCTACTAAATACGGGAGAGGGCAAGTAGAGAAAAACCTCTTATCTCTGTTGATAATGGCGTTAAGCAGGCAGTGTGTGCATACTTACAACTTCCATTTTTCCTGCTTTTGTCTGATTAGTGGAGCTTTAGGTTTTCTGTCAACTGATAATTTTGGTAAAGGAATAACAGTATGTTTAGTAGAAAGGTGTATTATCTTACAGATGCTAAAATATAAAACTTAGTAAAATTTAAAGCACTTTCAAAGGAGCTGCCCCTGTTGTAGTGTTAGGAGCCTACGTTTAGGATCTGTGCGTTAGGTAGTGATAACGCGCCTGCAGTGTAATGCATGACGAATTTGATTGGCTAAATGCTTAAGGTTGCTTCATCATTTGTAATGCAATGTGCATAAAGTCTTCTTGCTACTATTCTGTTAACAAATGAAATATCTCTCTCACAGATATTTTTTCTTTCCAATCAGAATGCTGATTTAAAGAAACAGCTTCATGAACTCCAAGCCAAAATCACAGCTTTGAGTGAGAAACAGGTAGGGGAAAAGGAGGGGGGGCATATTTTTAACATTGCGCTCTAAAGATATGTCTGCTCGAGGCTTCTCGGAGAACTGCTATTTTTCCTTATGTGTGAAAATAAGTGTGGGCAGCCAGACTCAGTTTTAATTTTGTTTGAGCTCTGTTTATCTATTTTTATTTTTGGTTGAAATCAGTCTTGAGAGTATCCCATGGGTATATGTTACTGGCAAATATCTAAAAGCAGTGTGGCAAGCTGCTGTTAACTGTGTTAATTAAACTCTGTGCTTTACCCATAGGGGAAAGGGGTAAAGAAAGTTAGTGGGAGTATGTGATAGAGAATCTTGTAGCTGCTGAATGTGCTTGTTACCTGTTCTAAACACTTAAAATGACATTTAATGTTGTGAATGGATCCCTCTAAATATGGGTCTCCTATCTGATTGTTGTTACGCCTTTATGTTAATCTTTATTAGATACTGACTTACTAGTATGTGAGAAGAACGTTGGTTGAACCTTGTTAGATTTGTTCTATATAGGGCAAGAGAAGAGCATCTTGCTTTTTTCCAAGGACATCTAGAAAGTATTTTTTGGAATTTCTTGTATAATCACCAATTCAGGCAGCTCCTGCCACCAGGTGGAGTGTGACAATTGATAGAGCTATAAGTAAATGTCTGTGGTAATCTGATGAATCATTGTTTTCTTGTTACTTCCCCACCACCCTTCCTCTGATTAAAAGGAGCAGTTTTCTATATTGGAGGAGGTGAACTTGTGAACCAAAATGATTAGTTGACTTGCTGTTGGTAGTTAATGCTAGTGATATCTCATTGAAGATTTTGACTGAGTAGTTCTCAGTAATTTATCCTGTTTTTTAAACTTTTATTTAGTGAAATAGTAGCAGTGAGAGTAATCTGTTCCTGGAGATTTTTTATTGTGTTTGTATTGTGTTATTGTATTGTGTTTTCATTTAACTAAGGAGACAAATAAATATTGAGAACTCTGTGGAATAGATATGAGTTGTTACTATTTCAGAGTAAAATCTTTTTCCAAGCTGAGTGAACAACTCCTTCCTCCCCTCCTGTTTTAAACTGCTACGTTTCTCCATCTCGTCTTTTCCAGAGATGGGGGGTGTTTTAAATTAGGGGATTGCCAAACTAAAATTGGGAGGAGGTGGCATGGTGAAGAAGAGTTTTTAAGGAAAAATATAAATAGTTTATTAGTATGTATTTCGCTCTGATGGTGAGTCTGTTCTTTGAAGTCAAAATGATGTGTGTTAGTGAAAGTGGTCTAGCTTTAGAATTCTGTTAGCCCTGAGCCTCCTTATAGTTTCAGGGTTAGTTTGACAAGATGCCAGTGAATGAGTCATTTGCTGAAAAATTCACGTGTTCCAGCAGGGAAAGAAGGTGAGAACTGATTAGTGGAGTAGGGATGGGGGATGCTGTCACAAAGTAAGGCTACATTTGAGAAAAATGGGGCAATTAAAAAGAATTTACATTTATCTAAAATTTTTGTTTGTGACCACTAATATAAAGATTTGGTTTATTTCTGTAACTTTTTGTTAAGTTTTTTCTACTAGAGACCTAGCTTAATAGAAAATTGCAGCTGTTTATATTAAGTAAGACATTTCATCAGGTCGCAAACTCTGTCACCTGAACTAAGTTTGGATTTTAGAAACTAAAATTTTTTAAAATGTCTTTAGCATTAGTAAAGAGAACTAGAGTCAGAAACTGAAGTGCAATATTGCAATTTTATTTGCTTAACTATTAAAACAACCTTTTTGATAGAACAGAAAATACATCATTTTTAGGTAGGATAGTACTTGAAGGAAACCCAGCTATAAAGTTCAAAAGCTGATCCTTCCTCAAATTTATATCTAACATGAAACATTGACATTTAGTTTAAAATAGTATTATTTTAGAGCAAACTCCTAATGCTGAATGCCCAGCTTTTTGTTGTTTTTTTCTCACAAGATCCACTTAAGCCTCTGGGAAAAATGTAATGATTTCCCTTCAACTTTAATAACTAAAATTTGAATTACCTTACTTACATGACTAGTATTTTAATTTAACATTAATTTTTTGGTTGTGAGAAAAAATTTAAATACAGAATAGTTCAAAGAATGTCAAATTTCAGAATTAACAGTGATTAACCCTTTGTCATTATTTGTTTACATTCTTTTTCTATATGCATTTTTCTGTAATCATTTTTTCTATATACACTTGAAAGCTTAATTATGTAATAGATGCATACATTCTCTTACTTTGCTTTATTAAAAAAATATTGCAGACCGTCATTGGTTCTCACAGTAAGCACTCATTAGTTTTTTTTTGTTATCGCTACTGCAGTCTTTGATACTCAGTTTCTTTCTCAAGACATTATGAAATGGGAGGCTCTATTTGGGGAAGTATGGTCTCTAGCGAGCATCCTTCAAGGCTAGAACTTAGGGAATTTCATCGAATTTTTGCTTAGAAAGTTCCAGTGCTTCCCAGCTATAACTTGAGTTTCTGAACAGAAACTTTCCATGGCAGATTTTGAAATCAACTTCTTGACCCACAGGGTCAGGTTGACAGTTTTTAACTCAGAAAGCCCCCACATTTGATTGGCTACAGAAATTATATGTTATATAGTCACTAAAAATCATGGTTGCAAAAATGTTTTCGTGACATAGGAAAGTGATCGCGATAAAATAAGTGTAAAAGCACATGTACCTTCATATGCATTACAGTCCCATTTATGTGTGTGTTGTAGGTATGTATGTGTATAGGCATGCAAATGTGTATACAAACAGTGTCAGTATAAAGTGTTGGAAGGTGATGAATTTATAGGTTTTTTTCTCTATATTCTTATGTATATTTTGCTATATTCTCCACAATAAGTGTTTCCCTTATAATCAGAAATAGACAAATGTTAAAAAATTTTAACACTAAACTCTTGTCTGTTTTAGGAATAGTTAACATTTAAAAGTCTAAGGACATTCTCCTCATGGTATATGAACCACTCTAATCAGAGAATCCAACTATTTTAAACACTAGTAATACTGAAGTATGGAAGCAATTATTAATTTCTTTAACATGGTTTGTTCTCATTCTCCATTCCTCCCTCCTCATTTTTGGCATGCATATGTGGTCTTTTGCTTGTCAGAGTAGAGGGATTCTGATACTGGAACCAAAGCACTTAGTTGCTTTAGTACTCAGCTTTCATTCTAATTCATTGTAGAAGCAATCTTAACATCCCAAAGTATGTTGCTTGACCCTGTAGTGATTCAGACTTAAGCCATAGTATTTGCCTTTTTATTTCTCCTGCCTTGAACGATTTGCCACCCCACTCCTTTCACCTGATGCTCTCCTGGCCAGGCATCAGGTGGCAGCTTAAAGGTTACTTCCTCAGAGAACCTGTCTTGAAACCCCTTCCTCCTGTCAAAATCAACTGTTTCTATTATAATCTCTCATTGACCCTTCCATTTTTCCTTTATAGCTGTGCCATTTAGGATTAGGTTCAGCGGTGAGTGACTAAAAACTCAAAGTGCAAATGGCTTAAACAAGGTAGAATTTTATTTCTCTCTCATGTAAAAGCTGTTGTAGGTGGACTATGCTGGTGATAGTGGCTCCACAGTGCCAGGGAACCCAGGCTCCTCCTACTCTGTTGCCTGCCATTCTCAGCATGAAGCTTCCACATCATAGTCCAAAATAGCTGCTCCATCTGGTAAGAAGGGGGAAAAGCAACAAAGAGCAAGCCCTTTATTTTTAAGGATGTTTACTGGAAGTTGCGTGGGCCACTTGCAAGTAGTAGATCCCATTGGTCAGAACTTAGTCACTAGGAGCAAGGGAGGTCAGAAGTGTAGTTTATTCCAAGTGGCCACTGGCAAATAAAACTCAGGGACTCTGGTACTGAGTAAGAAGGGGGAATATACTGGGAATAATTAGTAATTTCTGTCACAATAGCTTATTACAATTTATAATTACATGTATGTGATTATTTTTTAAAATACCTATCTTCCTCACTAGACTGTGATTTTCAGGAAGTCAGGGAACATGTTTGTCTTCCTTACTTTATTCCGAATATAGTACATAGTATAATATTTAGCATAAGATAATATTTAGCACAGAAAAGCATTTGTATTTCTTAAATGAATTATTTTACCCACCTGATCTTTTTCTCTGCTTGTAGATAATTTTTTAAAACGGTACATCTTGTTTTTTATGCTTGTTAAAGTATGAACATTTTTTCAATGTTCTTTAAAAACATGATATTTAATAGCTTCAAATATTTAATGGTCCTGCTAGATCATAATTTATTAACTATTCCTCTATTAGTTGATGATAGGATGTTTCCAGTTTTTCACTAATATAAATAGTGCTATGATAAACACCTTTGTATGTGAATCTGTTTCCTTGTAATTGCCTTAGGATAAGTTCTTAAGTATGAGATTACTGGGTGTAATGGTCAGCTATTGCTATAACAGTTCGGTGTAACACCAGTGTTTTATTGAGGGACTTATAACACTGTTTATTTTCACTTTGGATATATAGATCACTTGGGCTTCTCTTGATCTGGGCTGGACTTGGGGGGCCACAGCTACTTCAGTTTGTGGGTTGGCTGGTCCTGCCTCCAGGGTGCAGGTTGGGTTAGATCCACTCCAAATGTTTTCATTCTGAGACCTAGTATGAAGGGACAGCAGCTCCCAGGGGCATACTTATTTCATGGCTTATAACCTGAATGCAAGAAACAGGCCAAACTACCAAAACACATTTTAAGCCTCTGCTGGCATCAAGTTTTTTAACATCTCATTAGCCAAAACAAATCATGTGGCCAAGCCATAGGCCAAGACAAAGGGTGTGGATGTGTAATTTTATAACAGAAAGATTATGAAGAATTGAGAATAATAATCCATTGACCACCCTTGGTCAAAGGGTATAAAAAAGCTTTCACTATATTGAAAAAAAACCTTTTACTAATTCCAGAAAAGGCTGTATTAGATTAACAGCATATATGAGAGTACCTAGTTTTTCCCAGGAGATACCCT